GAAAGAGTTGGGTCTGGGCAGGTCTGGCTGGGTTTTGTCTTGTTACTGGCTTTTAATGATTATCACAAGGCCATGATAACCAGAAGGCCTGAGAGTAGATAAGAACTAAGCCACGAGACAGAGCAGACTGCACCAGCTCTCAGAGCATATTCTTCTTGGGGCACAAGCACCACATATTTTTTACCAAAGCACTTCAGGGCTAGTACCTCAGCCCAGCCCTGGAAAACCAGAGGAGGCAGCTCAAAAGGAAAGACAAGGAGGCTGGAAACAGGCTCAGAGCTAGTTCCCAAAGCCCACATTCCTAACCTGACACCAGTGTTACTAAAATGAGACTAAAAGAAAGCAGATATGCTCATTTACTTTACGAAACATTTAAACACCACACAACGTGCTTAGTTACCACGATGGTACAGAGCAGCGAAGTCACTCACATTATGAAAATATTTTATACTCAAATATTTGACCCCAGAGATAGTTCTCCATGGTGCAGCAGTAATGTCCTGCTCAGAAAAAGTCAGATCCCCACATAGTGACTGAAGTTCAAATCCCAGTCTGGTCAGCGTGAAGCACACATACCTGGTATGCGCAGGCATGCCCGGGATCCAATGGACTAAGGAAGGGGGTCAAAGAGTGACCGGAACCTGTGGGGGTGCTGCACTCTTTCTCTCTCACTCTCTCTCTCAAATGCGCTCATATATACCCTATCATGAGTAAAGAAATGAACATAACTTTTTCTTAAAATTTGACTACAGGTTTCTTTCTTTTTGTTTGGAAAGAGAGATGTTTTTGCTATTGAGTATGTGCGCTCACTGGAGAGACACAGAGAGATAGAAAGCTAGAAATCATCCACCCAGGGGGGATGGCCATGCCACAATCCATTTTCCTCTAATCTCTTCTCGGAATTTTGGGCATGTACACACACGCGCCCCGTGTGAGTTTTAAGCTGCCAGGTCCGGGACTGGAACCGTAGTCTACGTGGGAGCTAGTGACGTAACCATTACACCATCTGCTGGTCCTGACTCCAGGTTTCTTAAGAAAAGGTACAAGAAAATCATTTAGGACTGCTAGAGGGGGGCATGAGCAGGCACGGCAAACTAAACTGCATGATTATTAAAACTGCATTTCATACGCAACTTTCACACACAGGAAAAGGTATGTTCAGATTCACAAAGGAAAATGGCTTTCCCCCTAAATATAATTTATAACTGACTTAGTTACTCCAGCCCCACTTTATAGCCTGAGATAAAAAAGAAGACAGGCAAGACTGCTATCAGTTGAAGATGTTTTGCTTTTAGAGTGAGTTCTGAAAGCTGCTGAGGGCTGTGGTGTGATGGGGTATTTCCATCGTTTATAGGGTGTGGGCAACATTTGGCAGAGGGAAGACAAAGGGCCTTTTGATGGTGGCCAGAGGAGCAGGACCACACAGAGAAGCAGCTGGACCAGGAACCAAAAGAAGATTCAAACTCCTTTCCCCAGTAGAACTTAGGACCAAGAAAATGGTCCACTGAAGGAAGACACTCTTAGGACAGATCCAGGGCAAGATGGAGGGAGAGGGCATGCACGTCACACTTTCTCCCTCCAGCAATGACACGATGGTGTGTCTGTTATTTGAACTCGACAGTTCCTGTCCAAATTGAGCAATATTTACCCCTGGCAGGGGCTGGAGGAGAGACAGTAAGATAAAACAGCCTCAGTAAATACTGAAATGGACATTAAGGAAGCCTCCCTGAAAAAGTCACATGTAAATACCAGGAAATGGTGAAATAAGGCCAGAGCCCCTAACCATACAGTTCAGACAGCAGTGACAAAACTTAATTCACGGGCAAACAAGAGAAAAGGCAAAACTAAACACAAAAGTAAATACAAAAGTTTTTCTTTTTCTTTTTCTTTTTTAACAGAGATTTTTGTGATAGAGTGTGTACACTCCTCTGAGAGACAGAAAGTGAGAAAATCACCTCCCCCCCAAGGGGAGATGGCCACCCTGTAATCCTTTATCCTCCATTCTCCTCTTGGGATTTTGGGCACGCACACACACATTTGCGTGAGTTTTGAGCTGCCAGGGCCAGGCCTCGAACTGCGGTTGGGCATGTGGGAAAGTACCATTACACCATCTGCTGGTCCCAATAAATATGAAAAAAAAAAATTAAAAAATATTTATTTTGAGATGGCTACAGAACTTGAGCTGTGAAATATTGCTTTCAGGGGCTAGAAATAAAGATCTTATGCTGAGACTTCTCCCTCCAGATTCATTTCTAGTGGGCAGGGGTACCTCTGTATCCTTCTCTCCATCTGTCTGTCTCTTTCTGTCTCTCTTTGTCTCTCTCTGTCTCTTAATTTTATTTTTTTAATGTAAAGTATTCTCTGGGCTCTCAATCCCCTCCTTTATCATGCTAATTGTGCCTTTTCCCCAGGCCCATCCTGAGATGGCCACTGAACTTGAGCTGTGAAATACTATGCGTGCCACATGGTTTTCACTTTTTGCTTTTTAAAATTAAAATGTACAATTTTTTTTTTTTTTTTGGAGAGATTTTCACTGTAGGGCGCATGCGCTCGCCAGACAGACAGAGAGAGACATAGAGACAGAAAGCGAGAAATCACCCCCCAGGGGGGATGGTCACGCCGCAACCCCTTCTCCTCCATTCTCCTCTCGGGATCTTGGGCACGCACGCACACGCGCCCGGCGTGAGTTTTAAGCCACCGGGTCCGGGACACGAACCGTGGTCGACTACGTGGGAGTCCAGCGACATAGCCATTACGCTAACTGCTGGTTCCCAAAATGTACAATTTTTTATTGTCTTTTTTTTCTTCTTTTTTCTTTTTCTTTTTTGTTCCTCTTTCCTCTTCCCTAATTCTTTTCTTTTTTCCTTCAACTCCATTCCTTGGCTGCTCAGCCTCTACGTGCTGAGTGTCTAAACAGGTCAAAGTGAACAGAATCCAAATATCTTAATGCTATTAGGGTCAGAATATTCCTCAATTCTTACTGAATTTGATGCACAAAGAGTGAAAAATGGGACAGAAGAGAGATTGCAGGTCACCTCCTCCTGCACGCCTCTGAACATTCAGATTGAACTTCAAGATTTAGGAAGAAACTCAAAATCCATCAGATGACCAGAAGTCACCACCAGTTCAAAAGAAATATGAGAGAGCAAGAAAATACCTCTCCTCCAAGGAAAGGGAATAAATCCTCTACATCCTCAGATGTGAAAAATGGGACAGAAGAGAGATTGCAGGTCACCTCCTCCTGCACGCCTCTGAACATTCAGATTGAACTTCAAGATTTAGGAAGAAACTCAAAATCCATCAGATGACCAGAAGTCACCACCAGTTCAAAAGAAATATGAGAGAGCAAGAAAATACCTCTCCTCCAAGGAAAGGGAATAAATCCTCTACATCCTCAGATAGTACAATGTAACTCATGGAAATGTCAGATAAAGAATTTAGGATATTCATAGTGACAAAGCTAACAGAGAAGAAAGAGAAGAGGGACAATGAACTGCAGAAGAGGCAGGAGAAAGGAGCCGATGAGTTCCAGAAGGTGAGGAAGTTCTTGCAAGATCTGAAAGAGGAAATATACACCATAAAAAAGAATCAGATTGAACTGTTAGAGATGAAGGCTATAATACAGGAAGTCAAAACCTCCCTTGAAAGTATTAAAAGACTAGGTCATATAGAAAATTGAATCTCATATAGAAGACAGAATCACTGGCCAATGGGATCAGCAGTTAACGTAACGGCTATGTCGCTGGACTCCTACGTAGTTGACTGCGATTAGAGTCTTGGAGCCAGTGGCTTAAACTCACACTGGGCGCGTGTGCGTGTGTGCCCAAGATCCCAAGAGGAGAATGGAGGATAAGGGATTGTGGTGTGGCCATCCCCTCTGGGGCATGATTTCTTGCTTTCTGTCTGTCTCTCTCTGTCTCTCTGGCGAGTGCATGCTCCCTATAGCAAAAACCTCTCAAAAAAAAAAAAAAAAAAGAATCACTG